ATTTATATATATATATATATATAAATTCTCCTGCATTCAAAGCATTATTAGCACCAATTCCAACCTTCGGATCAATATTTTGTTTTTGATCTCCTGCAAGTGCCTCTCCGCTTACTTTAAGCAATACCCTGCGCCATTTGTATGATGGTTTGGATGTGCCATTATCATTCATTGAGATGCCAAAAGGAGGCATAGACATAGAAGAAAACTGAGGTGGCCTAAAAAAGGGAAGAAAAGAGGAACATATATGTTACAGAGAAAGAAAAGTATGCATGTAGAAGTCTACAAACATGTTGCAGTATGGTATAATGAACAAGATTTAAATTATTTTCTACTATGTACTATCCATTCCTCCTTAACAAGCATACCAATGATAATGAGACACTGTTGTAATATATGGTGTCAATCAATGAGATAAGCACATTATATGAGAAAAATACCACATGGTACTAGTCTTAAAAATAATAAACCCTTTATGTGCCCTACAGTCTTAAAATCGCAATATATGCAAATAAGAACCATATATTACTACTTAATTCTTTTGGTTCATAACTATCGAGTGCTGATAATGGGAAAAGACTCTTAAATCTATCTAGTACTTACTGGTATGAGAATCGATTGTAGAAAACTCACGTGTGTATGATTCATTTTGAAACCATAGAACACAAGGGGGAACACAAACTATTTAGCTAAATCAAAGAAACCTCGGTGAAGGCAAGAAAGACATAAAATTTATGTTCAATCTACATTGACCAAACACTTAGGTGCAAAATACCATATAATTTCATGATGAATCTGTATAAATTATCTACAATCATGCAGCATAAAGGTGCATAAATCAATATAAATTGCTTGATATCATGAAATTCTTTCTTTTTCCATCACAGATATTGGCAAGCAACATCAGCATGTGAGTAGTCCTTGACAAAACTCACAACATGAATAACAACTTAAATTCATTCAATAAATTGACTTGGACAAATAGATTAAACATATCCAAAGAAATGGTTCTGAGGACAAACCCCACCAGTCTCATTTGCTTCTTCATTTTCACTAGACCAACAAGTAGTATGTGGAGTCTATTGAATGAGAGAATTCATCCACTGAATTCTGAAGACTACTATACCACAGTTCTATAAATAAAGTTATGCTTAAACATCAACAGAATCAACTCTGAGAAACTGGACCTTGAGAGTAATTTTCATATGAAAATTTCACATTAGAAAGAAAAACTCCATAGCAACAAGACTATAGAGAGAGAAATGAGCAAACTTCAGAGAAGCTACATGATTGTAAAAAACAGGCCAACCATCAATTTAGCACCATCCACAACCAGATCAATTATTTCTAACATCAGATGACCAAAAATTCTTCATCTTAATATTATCACGAGAGACACCATAAGACTTTCCTGTTCCACTGCATAGATTCTGATTTATTCTATATGCATTACCGTAACGAATTTTCTCTTCATTTTTTTATGCATACATTCCTCCAACTCATCAACAAGAACGCGAACAGAATTATAAAATACGGCTCTTCTGAGTCTAACATCATAAAACACTGAACTACAAAATAAATCCTACAGATAGGCATTATTAAGAGAAAGCTAAAACCCACAAGTCATTCAAGAATTGGAACAACCAATTAATCCTACACAATTCAGAATACAATGCGTACGCAAAATTAACCTCGAAAGAGAGCAATGCATGGCGTATACATTACTACCTCAAATTCATGGGTTCTGAGGTGGGTTCCATTTCATCAGAAGTACAATTGACTATAAGAGGCCGATATGAGCTTCGAAATCCCATAACTACTGAACTATTCTTTTGACAATTTTTGGGTTTTAAGAAACAGAGAGAAGGTGAAGAGATGGCTCCGAAAGAGGATACAAGGCGATTTGAAAGGGCCATTCGAGAGGGAAAATGAATGAAAAGAAAAAAAGGCGAAAGAATAATGATTGCAATTACTCAATGAACAGCACAATTTGAAAGTTCGATAAAATTTTACGGGGAAATGATTTTGGTTTTCCTTTTCCTTCACAATTCTCTTGTGATTCCTGTAGTCTGCTTCGCAGTGATTGGATAACGTTGTATGATTTTCATGAGACTCCATAAGAAAATATCTTAGAGGAAAACATAAATATCTTAGCTTTGGTAATTGGGCTTATAGCTAATTATGTGCAAAGATTGAGCGCTTGTGAGTTGGTAAAACTATATTTTTAAGCACATTTTTTAAGATTCATAATTTTATCTACTTTTAATTATGTATTATTCACATATAATCTAACAAAAAATTTTGTTAAACATGGACGCCAGACTCTGCTTTCTTTTTATGTTTTAACTTTTTTGATTCGTTCTCAATTAATCCATTCATTCCCACTAGTAAAACTAACATATTTTCAAAGCATTTATAAATTGTTTAATTTATAATAGATATAAATGTGTAGTCAAAATTAATAAAACTTGCAAATTCATTAGAATGTCTAGTTAAAAATGAAGTTTGATAATTTATAATAATTTAATAAATTTTGCCAAAAGAAGGCTAAAGTAAAAGTCCTAAGTGGCAATTATCCCTAGTGACTTGGTTGAAATATAAATAAAATTTAGTGATCAAATTGAAAATTCGCTCTACATTCAATGACCGTGTGATTTATTGAACTTGATTTGACTTGTTATTTTCAACTTACAGTTGCACCCCTAATGTGTAACTATACTCGATTATGTCTTTCTTTGATAGCCTCTATGATTCGAAAATCTTTTCAAGATCCAAAGGTAGCTCATAGAGGTCACTCTTCTTTAGCACATCGTCATTGCATTTGTTACTTTTCTTTAATTTTATTTCCATAGCGATTCATTCAACACAAAAATGCAAGTAGATGCTAGCGTGGAAGTAGCATCCAGGCTAGGGATTAGTGATGACAAAAAAATTCGCCCCCGCATGAGGCAAAAAAACCCACCCCGAACGAGTTGGCGGGGGGCAGGGCGGGGCGCAATGGAACAAAATTTAAAAAAAAAAAAAAAAAAAAT